GGCGGCGGCGGGCGGCGGCGGTGGCCACCCCCCCTTTGGAGAGGCTCGCGGCTGCTCGCCTCTTGCGAGGGGGTGCGCCTGGGGCTGGGCAGAGAAGCTTAACCCCCCCCCCCCCCCCCCCCCCGTCCGCCCCCCCTACTCAGGCGTCTGGCTGCAGGAGGGGCAAGCCGCCGCCTCCCTCGAGTGTGCAGCGGCGCTCCTCTCGCTGCTGCGCCGCCTGCTACGGCTGCCCGCGGCGGCGGCGGCGGGCGCCAGCCTCGCGCCAGCCTTGCGCGCGATTCTGCTGAGGCGCACCGCGACCGCTCCCCACGCTGCCCGTGCTTTGCACTTTCAATGCCGCAATGCCGCGGAGTTTTGCGCCACTTCTGGGATGTGGAGCTGTGGGGCATCGCCCCGCCCCACTCTTGCCCCCCCCCCCCAAACTTGCGCGGGGAGAAGTCCACCTGCCTTTCCTAGGCATGTTGCGCCGCACACGCCACTCGCTGCGGCCGGCGGCGCGGCGGCGGGCGGGTCGGAGCTGCGTTCGCTCAACCTCAGCCTCTGCGCACTGCTGGCCGAGGCCATCGCGCCCGAGGAGGCGGGTGCCTCGCCCGCCGCCGCCGCGGAGGCGGACGAGGAGGAGGCGCAGGAGGAGGAGGGGGGATTGACGGGGGCGGTCGGGCGGGGGGCGGTGGCGCCGCTCCGCTCTCGGCTCGCGGCTCACGTGGCGGAAGAGCTGGGCCGCTACGGCGGCGCCGACGAGTCGCGCCGCGACACGGCGTCTACCCTACCTCACAATAGACCCGAACCCTACCCCCGCCCTCTCCCCGCACTGACACGGCGGCTTCTCAAAGAAGCGGGGCCTTCCCGCCTCGCCAACATCTCGCCACACCCCGCCTCGTTTCCCCCAGGCGCCGCCCAAGAAGCGGCCGCGCGGCGGCGGCGGCGGCGGCGGCGGCGGCGGCGGCGGCGGCGGCGGCGGCGGCGGCGGCGGCGGCGGCGGCGGCGGCCGGGGCGGCGGCGGCGCCACGCTCCCCTGCTCGGCGTTCCTTCTCCTCGGCGCTTGCCGTGCGGCTGCTCTGCTCGGGCGGCGGCGGCGTTTGCGGCTGCGGCGCGGAGGCGGAGGCGCTTCTCGGTTCGCTGGTGCGGCGAGGGAGGTGTGGAGCCGCACCCCGGCGCATCTCGGCCGCATCTGCGCGAGCTCTCTCGGGTAGGTGCGGCTGTGGGAGGAGGCGCCGCCCTCGTCGCCCATCCGCGCGCCGCTGCTGAGTCTGTGTTGCGAGGCGCTGCTCCCGCCGCTCGATCCTATCCACCACCGCCACAGCGCCACCGCCGGCACGCCGCAGATCGCCGCGGCGGGTCCGCCGCCGCCGCCGCCGAGGCTGCTCACGGCGTGGGCGGTGTCGCTGCCCAAGCTGCTCTGGCAGCTTCACGACACGCCCGCGACACGCCCGCGACACCGCCTCGGGACACGTCCGCGACGCGTCCGCATAGGCAGCTGCACGACACTGCGCCGCCGCTCAGCGGCGCGATGATCGACGCTCTCCGCCGGCTCGGCAGCGGCGGCGGCGGCGGCGGCGAGCTGCTCCAGTCGTTGCAGCCGGCGCTGGAGCCATTCTTTTGCGCGCGAGGCCGGCACGGCGGCGCCCCCATCTTTGGGCCATTCCTGGCGCTGCCGCGCGCGCAGCGGCAGGCGGCGCTGCACCTTGTGCTCGGCTTGCGGCCGATCTCCCGCGGCTTGCTCTGCGCGCTCGCGCGCTGCGCCCTCGCTGACGCGCGGCCGCCCCGCTCGGGCGACGTGGCGGTCGAGCTCGTGCGCGCCGTCGAGGCGGGAGGCTGGAGCGGCGCGGTCGACGCGCAGGCGCAGGCGTCTTTCTATGCCACGCTGCTGGCCGAGGCGGGCGGCGCGGGCGCGCAGCCTCCCGGTGCAGAAGCCGTGCGCAACGCTGCGCTGGGCGCGTTGCGGCGGGCGGAGGTGGATCAGGGTGCCGCGTTCGTCTTGCCAGCGGCCAGGTGAGAGTGTGGGAGTAAGACCTTGCGCGCGCGCGGGGGGGGGGGGGGGCCTGCCTGTGTTTGCATGGTGACCCCCCTAAACCCAGGAAAAAAAAGGCCGCGCGAGGCTGACACCCAATTGAT